GAATCAATGCTGTGTCTACACATCACAAAAAACTGAGCAAATAACCAGTTTTTATCTTTGGGTACTTTGTTACAAGCATAATCACAAAAATGCATCATTTATTCCCATTACTCTAGTTGAATCTATAAAAAAATACCAACAATAAAACAGTTTGACAGGCATAAAATAGTAATATTGCACCAACAATGTGATTCCTAAAGATTTGTTAGATGAAATCTATATAAACTGAAAAAGTGGAGCACAAAAGTGAAAGTGCTAAAAACTATCTACAGATGATATTTGAAAGTCATGTCCTTAAGATATAGGGGAAAAAAATCCAGCAAAGACCTGACACAGGACCTGAAAGATGCATCTGGCCCTTTAGTTGATTTATTCACTGAAACCTCCTCAGAAATGGTCTCAGGTGGCTGTCAAGAAATCATTCTTAAGGAAGGGAAACAGGGAGAAAAGCCTGAGGTAATAGAAGAACTGGGCTGAAAATCAGTGGCAACATGTCCAGCCTTGGAATATTTTTGTTCAAATCATCCTCAGTATATTCAGAAGAAGAGGTCAAAATGGAGGTTGCAGCTTCATTTTTCAGTACGACAACAATCCCACACCCACTGCCAATGCAGTAAATGCAAACCTGTATAGAAAACTGCGCAATGGAACACTATCAGTCATGGATTGGCCTCCCCAGAGCCCAGACATTAGCACTTTTGAAACAGTGTGGGATCATGTTGACAGAGAAAAGAACAAAAGGCAGCCAACATCCAAAGAAGAGCTTTGAATGTCCTTCAAGAATCCTGGAGAACTATTCCTGAAGACTACTTAAAGAATTTCCTATGAGTATTCAGACTGTTGGTCGTCTATAATATGGACTTTCAAGCTCATTAGATTTGTAGAGTGTTTTCCATTGTTCACATACATTAACCAATTATTCTTTTTTTTTTTTAAAAAAAAAGGAAAGAAAAGAGAAAGGTAGCCAAATAAAAACAGTAAAAGAAACAAATGAAAATCTACTTTGGCATGCTTAAGCCAAGCCAAGCCCTTCCTTTGGCTCACGTGCACGTAAAATTATTTCCAAAGTGAAGCATTTGTCATGCTTCCTACATGACAGAGTCAATAATATTTATTCTTCCAGTTCCACTACTGTAAATGCAAGAAAGAATAATCTTAATCTCCTCCTGGTTCCAATATACTGTACATACATTCCAATAAAAACCCCATTGAGACGAGATAAACTTTACAAGAGAGAATAATCCCTGCCGCTCAGTAATGTACCTCACTGGTCCCACCGGCATTTTAACCAGATATGGTCTGTAACAAATAAGACAGCAAGACAAAGCTAAACAAGAAAGCCAAAAGACTCCCCAGTGGGGTGCAGGAAAGCTGAAGGAAAGGCGAAGGGGAAGAGCCGTATTGCATGAGGTGAACATCATATTCTGAATACACAAACACTGATATCTGCATCTTATATTCCCCTGAGGATACTATTATAACCCAATTTCCATTCATAAACCCACTTTAAAATCGTAGGAGCTTGTCTTCGTATCATTATTAACTTTTCTTTCTTTCTTACTTGTTTGTATATCCATGCGCACAATGCAAACAGAAACTTCTAATATTTAATCCAGCACAGTATTGACGATGTCAATTTGATAAAATGTATATAAATGCAAAAAGAAAAGGTACAAGCTTAACAAACAGAACAATACCCTTTAAAATATGCCACTGCAGGCAAGATTTAAATAACAGTGACTATAATTCTTATTGGTGTGGGGATTAAAACCACTGATCGCATAAAGGTAATATTTAATATTACACCAATTCTTCCAGTGAATGAAATCCAGATTGAATGGGTGAGTGTGGGCTCAAAACCCACGAACACATCAGTGAAGGAAAAATGCAGCAAACTTTAATCTAAAAATGTCCTTTTCATTTGCCAGGTTCTGCACCGGGAGAAGTGGATCAAAGTCACCCCGACACAGCAGAAGATTTTTTTGTCCTCTGTGTGGCTACTCGGAGCCCTGCTTGGTATATTTTTCCTAAGTGAGGTGAAAATTAAGAAGTGGACGGATAAGGGCTCCTGCGAGAATCTCAGCTTCTCACCGGTACAAGAATGTATCTACATCACATTCACAGTTATCAGCCATGTCGTCTCATTGACCTGCTGCTCACTACTTGTTAGAGGGATCAACCGAATTCAAATCTTTGATAAGAAAAAGCTGAGGATTACCAAGTTATTTCTTCACATCATCGCTGGTTCCCTGGTATTTGCTGTTATTGCTCTGATGTTTCGCACAGCGTATGTGACTGTGCGTCTCGCAGCACCGGAAAAACTGCTTTACATCAGCAAAATGTTCATATTTATGGAATGTTTTTACTTTTTCAAGCACTCTCTGAACCCATTACTGTATTACTTTGCCTCTCTACATGAAAGCACCGATAAGGAAATCCGCTTCTTCATGTCTCTTGATGACAGCTCCTAATATGTTCTCCCATATTTTTGGCCTCCTCATACTAATGTGGCTTGATAGCCATGAAAACTCATGGAAAAATATGGATCCTTTGTATGGACAAAAGAATTTGGATCTTTTTTACTGGACTGTGTGACTAAATGACTAAATGTATCGAGTTAAATACTAAAGTAACTCATTAGCTCATTTTCCTGTGGTATGATTACTCTGCCTTCACATTTTATCATCCATTAGGCCGGAGCCTAAATCCAGGTTACACCCTGGACAGATCGCCAGTCTATCGCAGCGCTAACACATAGAGACAGACAACCATTCACACTCATATTCATACCTACAGCCCATTTAAAACCCAGTTAAGTTAACTCATCTGAACTGTTGGAGGAAGCACGGAGAAAAAACACGCAACTACAGATGAAACAAGCTAGCCAGTGGATTCAAACCCAGGACCTTTTTGCTGCAAGGCAACTGGACTGCCACCATCCTGCTCTACAGTTTATTACATAATATATAATAATGTAGCAATGTATGTCATTGCATGGCCAAAACACTGTACCACATCCAAAATTAATAGATAGATCTGTTATTTTGGTTCTTTAAATCTCAAACTTTGTTTGCTTCACTGAAAGAATGGGCACATAAAAAGATAAAACTATCTAATAAGGAGATCTATTTGGAGATGAGACTTATTGTGTTTTGAGCAAATAAAATCAGATTTTTAATGTTTATATTGCATTTATGTGCTGTTTAATGAATGCGAAATCTGGTTCTGACTCCAAACACGTCACGTGAACCCTCTCTAACCGAGTGAGCAACTTAGAAAGACTGTAAAATGTTTTGTTTGGTTAATAAGCAACTTTTAAATTTGATTGCTACTGAATTTTAGACCAGTATTTATTTTCTAATGCAGCTTTAGGTTGTAACTGTTAGCCGCACTAGGCACAGACAAGTTATTTTTAACAGCAGCAAGTAGAGCAGCAATATTTATTTATCACAGGCTCTAAATAGCTAACAGCATTTTGTTTAAAATACAAAACATCTTTGTCGTATTAATGTAGTTTCCACATTATGACACAGTAAAGTTCCTGACTTAAAATCTCATAATCCCGTATTTTATTTACAATAGAACATAAAAATATGTCGAACGATTATTTAACAAAAGTCTGTATTTATCTGGGAACTGAGGAGATCAGCTGCTGGAATTTTGGGAGAAGAATATTTTTCATTTCATAATGCTCCACATGTTTTCAGTGGGTAAAAGGTCTGGACAGCAGCCAGGCCAGCTCAGCGCCCTGACTCTTCTACTACTAAGCTATGCCGTTGTAATAAATGCAGCATGAGGCTTAGCGTTGATTTGCTGAAAAGTGCAAGGCTTTCACTAAAATAAATGTTGTCTGGATGGGAGCATATGTTGCTCTGCATTTGTGGATGGCACTGTGACAGCAAAAGTTCTTTTTGGGGGAATGTGTTGCTGCCGTCAGATTCTAAATGAGCTAATATTTGTCATGTAGTAGTAAAACGTTCTAGTTTAAATACTGTCTGTGATTCACTGTGAACAAAATGTGGTTTTGTGAGGTTTGCAAATCATTGCATTCTGTCTTTATTTGCATTTTACACAGCGACGATGACAATCTGAGAAGAATGAAAAGTTACATTTATAGTGTTAGTTTGCAGCTTAGCGTGTTAACATTAGCACTAAATGCAAACTGCACTTAAGGCTAAATCAAATGCATTAACTACACTGAACAGTCACTTTATTAGGTACAACTTGCTAGGAGCAGGTTTGACCTCTTTGTTCTGATGGTGGATCTAATTCTAGCAACTGCGAGTTCAGCAAATTCACTGTTATGCTCAAGAAACCAGTTTGAGATGATTCAAGCTTTGTGACATGGAATGATATCCTGGTGGAAGAAGATGGGTGCACTGTGGTCATAAAGGGAGGCGCATGGTCAGCAACTATATTCAGGTAGGTTGAGCATTTAAATGAGGCTCAGTTGGTACTAACTGAGCCAAGAAAATATCTTTACACTGTAATCAGCAGCCTGAACTGTTCATACACGCTGGATGGGTCAGTTCAAAGTTTGCATTTGTATATCTTCTCTATTTTACGAAATCAGTGCAAAATTAGAAACTTTCGAGCACTTAATACAAAAGAGAGCAAGCGCCTACCCGTCATGAGGCGAGACACAAAGGTCTCGGTGAGCTGCAGGAAACCGTGGTCAATGTACTGCAGAAAGGTGTGATGAGGGAGGCAGCGCACAGCAAACACAGCAAACAAGGTGTGATAGCCTGGAGAAACACAAAGGAGGCATCTGCTTTTTATGTTCCTAAATTCTCCTGCGGGCTGACTTTTTAGCCCGTTTTCGTGTTTACCAGTTTTATTTGTTCAGTCTTTGTATTATATTGTAAAAAGCCTGGCATAAAACAAATGGAACAAAGCATTCAGCTGACTGCTCAGCTTCAGAGAAATGCATTTCTTACTTTTATTTACCAAAGGGATACACGCTCAGTATGCCTGCTGCGTTACACCTTCACTTCATTTAGACGCATTTAAACCTCCAGCCTCGGTGTTAAGGGTGTGTTTACGTCTCGCATTCATCATCTCCCCCCCCCCATTCCCTTACAGTTTATGATCCCAGCACAGAAAGCCTTCGCTGGTGCTTAGGCTCCAGAAAATTTGTCCAAATGATTAAAATGTATTCACACTTTCTTACTCATGTCTGCATATTGTTAAACGTTTAACATATTTTTGGTTACATTAGCGCAGAGGAAAAACACACACATTGTTATGCTGGCTGAGGCAGAGGCAGACCGGATTATAACAGCTACTATAAAAGTGTGTGATACCGGGTGGGAGGGGCAGGCAGAGACTCCGGGTGGATTCCAGGATCCGAAGCATGTAGTGAAAGACGGACCACTCGGCCGGACTGCCCTGCTGCGTCCTGGAACGCGAGCACGTACACACACACACACACACACAATTCAGATAAGAACATTACATAAGGTGAGTACACATGTGATGAGAGGTTAACACAAATACACACATGTGGGCACACACGTGACGGGGAATGATGGTGCACACATACCTCGAGATGATTGCACACCTTTAGTCTGCACTTTATATTACTATCACTTTATAGTTGGAAACATGACTGATTTGTACTCACAAGCACAAAACACGAGGGCCGAGTTTGTACTTCAGCCAGACTGACTCCAGCATGTGTCTGATGAGCTCCAACTAAACACACAAACACACACAGACAGAGACACACCTTAGCGTTTGAGCCGCATATGCCCGATTAGATTCAAATGAAATGAAACTCGAATGATTCGCGAGCCTGTAAACTTTTGCGCAAAGCCGGGCGTTTTATCTGAAAACAGTTTCAACATGTTTTTCTGCTGTGGCGACAGTGATGTTCGCTTCATGGAAATTTAAACTTGTCCCATGATCAGTTTCCTCACTTCTCCCTTTTCTTTCCTACTTCCCATTTTCATCTCGAGTAAACAAGTGCAACCCCGGTGCACCAGGATGTGAACACGTTTCACACTCGCCCATATTATTTCGCCACACGCTTGGGATCATACGAACGGACTCGACCCGTCCTCAATGTGTCGGCCCGTGCCGAAAGATCCACGGGCTTCTTTCCACAGGTGACCACTCTTCCACTTGTACAATAACAGGAAAAACGATCTGCCTCGTCCATATCCTGGACACCAGTTGGAAACCTTCCACCAGCTGCTCCAAATGCCAGCAGCCAACATCCTCCACTCACCTCGGGGTGGAAATTAGCTGCACTTATGTAACAGACTAGCCCAAAAGTCAAAAAGGTGTTCGGGATAAACATAATAATAAGCTCCTCTGGGCTTTTCCCAGTTTTAAATAATGTTAAACTTACCCCTGCACCGTCTGTGCTAAATAACACCATAAACTCTGTATCTTTAAAAGCCATGAAAAAACATGAACCCCCGCTAAGGGTGATAACAATTTTAAATGGAAACCTTTTTTTTTTTATCTCTTTAGGTCTTTTTTTTCTAGTTTCCATTGTGGATTTAAAGGTTTTGAATGAATTCTGATTTAACTTTGCAGGGGTGTAGAGTAAGGTCATTTTAACAAGCCATTAAAATTTGGCAAGGTCCTCAAGGTCAACTTAATGATTTATTGGTTGAAAATCGACAAAAAGCCTTACAAATGTGGTGTGTATTGTCAACATATATCTATACAGATTTAAAATAATATCTCACATTTGACCTCTAACCTTTCCTTCAATAGACTGATGTGAAGGCCAAAATGGTAATATTACTATATACAGCTATATAAAACTGTGTCTTACTGCCATTGTTTGTATTAACAACATATAGACATAAAAGGAACAATATATGGGGATTCTAAGTTTGAGTTTTTGACCTCTGACCTCTTCTTCAAGGTCAAATAAACCTTTAGAAAATGTCTTTTATCTTTAAAAACTGTTCTTAAAAATTCTACTGCCTTTGTTTGTAGGGGCAACATTTTGGAAACCATGCTGCTGTATAAGGATTCTAAATATCACATTATAGTTTGCATCTAAATATCAGGTCATAATTGACCTTTAACCTCACTTTTACGTTTTGCATCTGCTTTCTTTCTTTAGAAATTATATAATAAGCTACAGTTATTCATGTCCATGTTATTTATGAATCAATACCTATTATCTACTCCTACATAATGTTTGTGTAATTAAAGCAAACATCTGTCATGCTACCCTTATTAAAGATCATTTAAAAAGAACAAAGAAAACAAAATGAACATATAAAAATACAATATTATCCGCTTTAAAGTAAATACTGCTCAGAGAGTGAGCTGCTTTGGTGGAGGGCTGAGTTCTCAGAGTGCTTCTTGTTTGGGGATTTATTTCTTTATTATCTTTAATTTCTTTTAAATCCTTTTTCCTCTCTGTTTCTTTTTGAATTTTCTTAAAGCCCATTTTGTCAGCACTGTAAGCACAAATTAGGAAAGGAATGCCCCAAAAGACCATTGCATTCATCACGCATTTCAAAGTATTTGTCTCCAAAAATTATAAACTGTACTCGGTTGTCAACCTTTCAAACAAAACAAATTCCTAGAAGCTCAAGCAGCTCCTTGCTGATGCAGGAGCAGCGTCTTTGTGGAGAAAACAGTCAAACAAAAGGCAATCAAGTGATTTAAAGGCACACACACAAACACAGTTATCCCTCTGTGGCCTTCTGCTCCAATTCGCCAATTTGTCTTAATGAACCTCGGCCCAGACAGGAAGCTGGATTTACCCGTGTGGGTCTCCTGTTAGCAAAAACGTTAAGTAACCTTGGGTAGAGAGGAACTTTTCTACTGCATAGTAAGTATATTCCAGCCTATTAGTTGCAATACTTTTTTTTTTTTTTTAGCAATTCTTATTCAGCTATTAGCGTGGTTGTTCTTTGCCTTGACATTGGCTGTGTTATAAAAAGGAATGCATCTCCGTTGTCTGTGGCAACGGAGACAGGAAATAAATAACTATGACAATAATATACTGCCGAGCTGTAATCTATCATAACAGAAGTTCCCCAGCTCTTAAAAGCTGTAATCTTTTTCACCGCCAACTTTTCCCCTGTGTCAATGCAACCATTAGTCTCAATAAGCACCAACAAGAAGGGGAGATGTTCTGTTTTGTAGCACCACCCTGAGTTTTTCAAGCATGAGTCAGCTTGATGCGAGTCAGTCTGCCCGTGAGTTAGTGAGCTTAAAGTCAAATGTGCCCCCCCCTGTTTCTCATAGGTGTTTGAGCATCTTTTAAATCAGTCCGTCATCCAAATGTTCACTTTCACGCAACCAAAGGAAAGAAATTATTATTTTAAAACTCATTTTCATTCCAAAGGCGCAGGTTAAAGCTCAGGAGCCCACCATACCAAGCTGAGCTATCGACAGATCCTACTGTGAGCAGACGAACAGAGAGAATTTCTCTGCTCTTCTTTTTTTTTTATACTCTGTTATTTACAATTCCACAATGCAATGTCCCAAAACATAATGCATCCTGCTTTCAATTCAATTCCCACCTTACCCTTGGCCTGATTTAACACTGTTGTGTTGATGTATGCCGTATGTCTGCTTTCAAGGGGCTCCTAACTGTGAAGGGACTCACCCACCAGGAATACTAAAAACTCACTTTACAGAGCCAAGAACCTCTATTTGATACTGAACAGAGGTTGAGAAAGTCTTTCCACTTGGATGTGCAGATCCTATCTGCACGAGCTGTACATTTTAATGAAAGTTTTATTTGTGCTTTGTGTAGCAAGTCTCAATAAAAACGGGGAATATTTTCTAAAACTCTTCTAAACTCTTCTTCAACAATTTTATTCACAGTAGAACATAAAAACACATCAAATGGTTAAATTGAATATATACTCCATTATAAGAAAAAATACTGGGCTTCGTGTAGTAATTAATTTAGTTATTCTTACTGTCTTTTTGTATTTTGTGCATTTAACTGCTGAAAATACTTACTAAATACTTATTTTGGGGTTATAAAATAAAATGTTATTTTCTAATTATTTTTCCCATTTCTACTCTAATAGCGCTCACTTTGACAAGCTCATTTTTTCTATCATGATCCCAGCTGCTGTGAAGGCTTTCCCAGGCAATGCAATTATCCAGCAGCTACCCCCGCAGGTTTGCTCAGTGCTCACAGTGACAACTTCATCATGGATAAATTCCCCAGTAATACTGATTATTGCCATTATGTCAAAAGAAGTTGTTCATGCCATTTCAGAAGTATCAGTTATATTTAAGTATTTTTTTTCCTGGTTGCAAAGAAAAAGACCATGGGAACTTCTTGTTATGCCAAACTTTAGAGATTTTACTGAATTTACCTTCCCCCCCCCAGAATACCAGGAGAGCGATCACTGGAGTTTAGTAATAATGAATAAAAAAGAATACATAATAAATAAATGGTGATTTTTTTGTTTGTTTGTTTGTTTTCAATGCAGTGACATTTTCAAAATAAAAGCTTCAAGTTATTTATTTGCTGCTTAGAAGGTGTTTTAGAAGAAGCATTACAAAATTAACACATCCTGCAAAAATCTGATTTTCAAAATAAAATATCTGACTTTCAGTTGATATCAGTTTATCAGCATGCCTTATGGTTGCCAAACAACAGTATAATAGTATGCTTTTTTAATAATAAAAGACTACTATTTAAATTGGGTTTTCTTAAATTTTTGAAGTACCTACTATTCTATAAAATTTACTACTATACTTGCTACTTCTTGCTACAACTTTTTTGAATCTGGTACTTTTTCTAATGAATTGACAGATGTATTTTGCTGACATGTCACATTTAAAAATGACAAATGTGACTACTGATCTGCAAAATAAATGATGGCTTTCTAGTAAAGTGGCTTTTTTAGTAGCTTTACTTTCCTGAACTATATTTCTAACACTAGAAACATTTCAGCTACTTCCAGTGGGAAGTAAATGGTATTTTGTAAAGCTATTTCAAAGCAGTTTTTCCATCAGTGCCTGTTGAGCGCTGATCTCTTGACACGGTTCAATGTCTTTATAAACACACATCAGACACAATAGACAGTCCCATCAGTTGTTTCATGTAACTCCAAAAATCAACAGGTGTCTGCAGCGCACAAAGAAACACCAGAGAAAAAATTTAGTCACCCCCCCTTGTTTTACTGGCTGCAATTGCCCCCTTGGTGGATACATGAAACAAAAGAAAAGAGTAGGTTTATGGATTTAGCAAGGGGGTCTTTAGAGAGAACTGATGGCTGCTGAGAGGACCCTAAGTGCGACCTGACAGCTTCTAGAGGGGTTTTCTAAAATGGATAGTCAAATATTTAGTTATAGAGAAAAGTCTCTGACTTATACACTGTGTAATCTTTGCTGTGAGTGTGACGATACGTCCCCCAAAAAAGGATAAAAGTGACAAATCTTTAAAAAAAATAGATCCAAAAGGATATACAGAGCTCCTGGACCTCTCTCTCTCTCTCTCTCTCTCTCTCTCTCTCTCACACACACACACACACGCACACACATACACACACACACACAAACACAATGTTTACCAACCAGTTTGGCTACATAGTTGACAACCAGCGAGTCAATCTTTTTCTTCCCCAGTCGAGGAAGGTGTCTGCTGAGGTGTTCTCGAAGCTTGTCAACTGTCTGGGATGCAAAAAAAAAAATACACAAATTAACTTCCGTGCATGTATGTGTGTGAGTGTGTGTGAGTGTGTGTGAGTGCCGTCAAGCGAAAGTTGGTGTGTTTTAAGCATACTTTGCAGTGCACTCAGCAGGGTCAAAATGAGTTCACCTCGAAAGCTTGCCTCAAATATGTTATGAAATTGATTTAAGCATGGAAAGGAAAGGAAAGGAAAGGAAAGGAAAGGAAAGGAAAGGAAAGGAAAGGAAAGGAAAGGAAAAGGGTGAGCAGAGACAAAAAGAGTGAATAGAAAGAAAAGGAAAGAGATGGGCTAAAAAATGTGAAAATGGAAGAAGAGATGGAGGGCAAAAGAGAGGAAGATAGCAAGACTGGGTCATTCTAAGAATAGCTAAAAGACTGCTTGCATCTCTACAAAACTCCATTAAATTGAAGCTATCTGCTCTTTGGAAACTATGCTGAGCACAGGGAAAACTAGGCGATATGAAATTGTCCATCAAACGATGTACTGTGGGGGGAAAAAATGCAGGACAGGGACCTTAAGATGGCCCTTTTTTAAAGTGTTGACTCATCTGAAGCAGAACGGGTTCTTCACCTTAAAGATTACTATAGAGAAGGATAATTGGTTGTCAGCATTTCACTATAGATTTTTGGTGGCCTGTATGTCAACCGACAGTGTAGGAAGGAGATGTTAAGCTGTAAAATAAACAATCTGAGACTTTCACATGCATTCTACAATCAACTTGTTTTTTACTATACACCAGTATAGTTAGTGTTGGCAGGGGGATAACACATCTATTACACATCTGAAGAGCCCATCAAATTATATATATATGTATGAAATTTTTAAAGACTACACGTAGCCTTCCCTCCTGTCTGCAACGATTTGCTCACAGGCAGGACCTTAATGCTGTATTTGTGTCCTGTTAGAATCAGACTTGAAAGTTCCTGAAAACAAGGACAAGGAGGACACACCGAAATGCAGATCAGGACAATACTGTTGACACACGCTTTACCAACTAAGCCTCTGCTGCAAATATACACTCGTGGACCACTTCATTAGGTAAGGCTGTGGAATTTCTTGTTAATCTAAATGTCTAATCAGTTGATGCTGCTGAAGTTGAACATTTAAGTGACAGTGGGATTGTCCTGTGTGAAGCTAATCCCACTGTCACTTAAAGTCACTGTAAACCCAAGAGATGGACCTACTGGGACCCTCAAAATAACCTATAACTCAATTAAGTAATCAAGGCATGCAGAAGAGCACATCTTAATGGACAACAAGTCAAACTTGAAGCAAATGGGCTACAGCAGCAGAAGACCACACCACTGTCGTCTAAGAACAGGAAATTTAGGTTATAATTTGCACAGGCTCACCAAAATCGGGCAATGACTGTAAAAATGTTTTCTGATCTGATGAGCCTCGAGTTCTTCTGCAAGGATTTAGTGCAAACAACAGGAAAGCATGGATCACTCCTCCCTTGTATAAGTGGTTCAGCCTGATGGCAGTGGTGTAACAGTGTGGTCTTATTTGATTTTAGAAATACACTCCTAAAACCTCATTAAAAGATCATGACGAACGAACCAAGGAAAAAGGATCTCCCCGAACTGTTTCCTCAAATTTAGAGACACACTTTTTTAACGAGGCAGGCGTTGCAGATTTGCAACAGTTAAAAACTAACAACCTGATTACCCCACATACATATTTTATGAGTTTTTTTTACTCAGAAGTACCAACAAAAAGTTTAATTTGAGCCTGAGAGAGTTAAATATCACCGTCTGCGTAGTAACATTAAGCTTCTTTTTGGTAGTAACTGAAACTCCCCAGCAAAAATACATCAAACATACTTCTGGACATGAAGTCCACTTTATTTGTGTGTCTGCGAAGATGCAGCTATTGAGCGCTCCCTCACCAGGCCTATGAATGCCCTCTGTTGATGATCCTCCTCCTGGAAAAGCGGCACCAGCTTCTTATCTAGAAGAGAGCAGGCAATAGTGAAAAGTGTGCGCATAAAAGGGGCGTTTGAAGATAGCTTTGATGCTGAAGCGATGCCAAATTAATCAAGCGCAGGTAGGCACGTATGCGAGTCCTGGAACATCATTAAACAAGCCATCAGTAGAAATGTAAGAAACCAAAAAGTCTGATTTCTTCATGGCTTTTAAATGTAAAATAAAAAAGAAGCTGAATATAAGATATTAATAGATTCTTTTTGAGCATTTTTTGCTTTAAAAATAAATCCCAAACCTTTGGGGTTACGAAGCTGCAGTCCCGCCATGTGTGTGTGAGTGTGTGTGTGTGAGTGCGAGAATACTTTGGCATGGTGAAGTTGTTTTATGTCAATCTCACAAAAGTGGACCACACTGCAGCTTTAGATGAATTATTACATGCGAGCATACACAAATACACACATCTTTTGATCCCTTTCACACATGTAAGAAGTGAACTTTTTGATGTTACAGCAAAAAATGTTTTTTATAGATATGGAAAAAAAAAGTGCTTGCAACGCACAGCGAACCTGCAGACTGTGCTGCCAGGTTCAATGTACGCCTTTTATCAGTTCAAAGCAATCAGCTGTTTTACATGTAGGCCGTGACCCTGAATTGAATAAGTGGATGGTTTAGATGGGGTCCCATAATAAACTATACTGCTGACATAATCATCAACAATACTGACACTGAAAAATAAATATGTGAAGAGTTGCTTGAATTCAGTCTCTTTGGTTTTGCATCAGTTAGTGATCTCAATATATTATTTTGTATTTTCTTCGAGATCATCAAATTTTAGTATAACTTGATTAAATATAAAATGCCAATTTTAAATGATCTCATTTATTAAAGGAAAAAATCCAGATCCACCTAGACCTGTATGAAAAAGGACCCGACCTACATGGTGTTAAATTTTAACTTTGTGACTCTCAAAAATAATTCTTTAAAATTATAATGTTTTAATACAGATAGAAAGCTTGGAAAAATGAGCCACATATTATCACATGTGTGTATTTAATTTCTATAAATATTTGATATCATGACACCCCTGCTCACAAGGAAACTGTACGAGTCCAGCCAGATCAATACTGCCATCCCTTAAACCCCACTTTAGCATGAATAGTTTAGTTTTACTGGATCTCAGTGCAGCATTTGATACAGTTGACCACAACATATTACTCAAACGACTGGAGAACTGGGCAGGTCTTTTAGGAACTGTACTAAACTGGTTCAAAACATACTTAGAAAACAGAAAATACTTTGTATCAATAGGTAACTTCACATCTGAGCAGACAAGTATCACATGTGGAGTTCCCCAAGGTTCCATCTCGGGACCCCTCCTGTTTAACATTTACATGCTCCCACTGGCACAGATTATAAAGAACAACAAAATAAACTATCACAGCTATGCAGATGACACACAAATATATATCACAATGTCACCAGGAGACCGAGGCCCTGTACAGGCTCTTGGTAAATGCATTGAGGAAATTAATGACTGGTTGTCTCCAACTACACAAAAACAAAACGGAAGTAATAGTCTTTGGTGCCAAAGAAAAACAATTACAGGTCACCAGAGAACTTCAATCTATACACCTAAAAACCACAAACCAGGCGAGAAATTTGGGTGTAGTGATGGATGCAGACCTTAACTTAGAAAAACACATTAAGACAATAACAAAATCAGCTTACTATCACCTTAAGAATATATCAAGGATAAAAGATCTGATGTCTCAACAGGACCTGGAAAAACTAGTCCATGCATTCATCTTTAGTAGGCTTGATTACTGTAACAGCATCTTTACAGGTCTACCTAAAAAATCAGTCAGACATCTACAGCTCATTCAGAACTCTGCTGCTCGAGTCCTCACTGAGACCAAAAAAGTGGACCACATCAGTCCAGCTCTGAGGTCTTTACACTGGCTGCCTGTCCGTCAGAGGATAGACTTTAAAGTTCTGATGCTGGTCTATAAAGCTCTGAATGGTTTAGGACCAAAATACATCAGTGACCTCCTGACCCAGTATGAACCTTCCAGATCCTTCAGGTCATCTGGATCCGGATTTTTATCAGTTCCCAGAGTCAGAACCAGACACGGAGAAGCTGCATTCAGCTTTTATGCTCCTTATATCTGGAACAAACTCCCAGAAAGCCTCAGATCAGCTGAAACACTCAGATTATTTAAATCCAGGTTGAAGACTCTCCTATTCTCAGCTGCATTTGAATAAAACACCAAATCCACACTTTTAAGCTTAAATTTCAAAACTTACATTTTAACTACTGATTTTATCTACTGTTCTGATTTTATCTACTGTTTTTTTAATCAATTTTAAATCAAGCCTTTTATTTGTTTTTGTTTTTAATGTCTCTGTAAAGCACTTTGAATCACCTTGTTGTTGAATTGTGCTATATAAATAAACTTGCCTCGCCTTGCCTTGAATCAGATAAAGAGAGGTAAACTGGAGAATAGTATCTGTGCACATAAATCTGCATCACTAATTCAATACAATAAAATTAAAAAAGTTTAAAACGTCTTCTATCAATGCAACAAAATCCAGCAGTCATGATCGCCCACATAACAGATTTAATAAAACACCAAATCATAAACTATTTACAGTGAAATTAGCTTCTTACAAGTATGCTATTATTTACACGTTAAAACAGGAACACAATCATATGTGTGTTTTAAAAATCAATCTGAGGGAGGATGTGGGTATGAGATTATCCGTGTGTGTGTTTTTGTGTGGAGAACGTCCTGTGTTGTGTCTGACAGGTAACAGCTGCACTGGAGCTACGTGCGTCATACTGCATATGAGAGACATGTGAAAAGGGAAAGAAAATAAGGGAGAGAGCGGGATATGCAAGTACCAAGCTCCTCAGTGTTATGTAATCATGTATAGCATTCTTTCTCTTGCCTTTTCTTTTTCTTTCTTTCTTTACTTTTCTGCCTCCTTCCTCCTTCATCTCTGTCTCATTCCAAGATAAATTAGTGAGGTAGTTTTATTTAGCCACACACTCCAGTGAGCATGAAGAATAGAGCCTCATAAGAATACACAAGCCCAAATATACTCACACACGGTATAGAGTTACATTATAAGTCTATGTTTGAGTATTTATTATGTTCATGCTGCAGTATGTCTGTGTACTTGTGTATGTTGTGGGTCTGAGTGCGACATCAGTGTGCTTATGCCATCTTACCAAGACTCCAGGTGTCCACCATTGATAGAACTCTACAAAATAAGAAGCAAAACTTTTTGTGAAAACAATCCCTCAAGCCAGCATTATAATAAGAGTCTTACATTTTATGCTGTGAGCTGAGGAGGGAGTATAATTCTACATTTGCTGCAGTGTGCAGCAAAAACTATGAAAGCAAAAAGTTTGTAAGCAGGTTCCAGAGTTTTGCCTGGAGGAAGCTAATTATAAACCAAAAAGGTGTTTGGTTGGCTCTCTGAAACAAACACAGCAGGCTTTTAAAATATGGTGCACGCAGGTTTGTGTCCATCATCAAGTCAGTCATCATCAAATGGTAAAGGGCTGTAGTTATGATTTCACTTTTTGGCTATGCAGACTTCTTTTATTCCTGCTAAGTGGTTACATTTGTGCCAAAAATAACTATAAAGCTTGGATGCTGTGTGCTTGAAGTTCGAAGCTTGAAGTTCGAAGAGAGGTTGATTAGTAAAAGAGTGGACATTATGATCGGTGAACTAAATGTTTTCTACAGCTGTTTCAGAACCGTATCGATCACACTATTACTGGAGTTACTTTCACACAGAGAAAAGCGCCACATCAGTAACCCTCTGAACGGATTCATGAGTTCTGGCAGTGGGAAAAACAGAATAGACGCCGGCTGAACGAATTGAGTCTGTGTAACAAAGTCAACAGTGCGGTTGGATTTTGTTAAAACACAAGAGCCAAAAAGCTGAGTGTAAACTTTGCACCAGCTTGTATATCACCAGCTTAACCCCCAAATAGACATATCATCTAAAAACGATAAGCTAAGTTAGGATGTTCTGCCAACTTTTGTGTTTTTTTTAACGCTTTAACTTTGAAAGTGAATATATCAGGTTTGTTATTCCATACTGAAATACAGCCCTGGGGTTTTCTAGTTTACTCTAACTTGGATTATAGCAACTAAACTTCTCACATGCAATTCTGAGAAGAGGCTCCCAAGGGGTCCTAAAAGTTACGAATGGAAAATCAGACACAACCCCAGTTCAGAAAATGTTGGGACTCTATGTAACGTGCAAATAAAACAGAATGCAGTGATTTGCAAATCTCACAAACCCATATGTTATTCACAAAAGGACGCGGGAAATATATATGAAATTGTTAAACTAGGAATATCAAATGTGGTACTAAAAAGAGTCAGTTGCAAGAACAAATTAAGGTCAATTAGGTCAACTGGACAAAGTCAGATGATTGGGTATAACAAGAGCATCTTAGAGAGGCAGAGTTTATGAGAAGTGAAGATAGGCAGAGCTTCACCTATCAGCAAAAACCTGTGTTTACATCTGATGGAGCAATTTCAGAATAGCGTTATTTAATGTAAAATTGCAAAAAACTCTGAATATCTCATTAGCTACAGTGCATAAATATTAAGATTCAGAGAATCTGTAGAAATCTCTGTACGAGCCAGATGCAGGTTAAAGCTCTATCATGCAAAGAAGAAGCCATACGTGAGCATGATCCAGAAACTCTGTTGTCTTCTTGGGGCCGAAGCTAATTTAAAATGAACTGAGGCAGACTGGTAAACTGATTTGAGGTCGGACAAATTGAAATTTAATTCGTCCTCAGCAATCAAGCAGAGAAGGACCATCCAGCTTGTTTTCAGCCCTCAGTTCAAAAGCCTGAATCTCTTATGGTATTATTTCTCATGGGGTATAATAGTGATATAGAACTGGCAGCTTGCATATCTGGAAATGCACCATCGTGGTGAAATGTATATACATGTATTATAGTTACACATGCTCCCATCCAGTTCATTTTTCCCTTTTTTCAGGGAAGCCCTTGTATGTTTCAGCAAGACAATGTTAAACTACAAGATACTACAACAGCTTGGTTTACTAGTAATAGTTTCACCAGCTCATAAATGTGATAAAGAACACCCAGGACTGTTGAGCAGCTAGAATCCTCTATCAGATAAAAATGCGATAACATTCCTCTCCTAAAAGTCAAGTAGCTGGTCCTCTCAGCTCTTATATGTTTACAGGCTGTTGTTAAAAGAAGAGGGGATGCTACAGAGTGGTAAACATGGCCCCGTCTCACAACTGTTTTAAAATGTGTTCCTGCCATTAAATTCATGTTTTTGTTTTTGTTTTTATTTATACATTTTGGTATGTTTTCTATGCTCTACTGTGAAAAAATTGGAAATCATTGCATCCTGTTTTTATTTACATTTTACTCAGTGTCCCAACTCGTTCACAATTGGATTTGTTGTTCTATTTTACTTCTTCTCTGTTATGGACGAGAGATTAAGCACCATCAACGATAATTAGAAACTGTGAATCTCCAATAAAACATAATATGTAAACAGGCTGATACAGGTAAACACTCTGTGAATATAAATATAGACAACCAACCATGCATGCATCATAAAACAGGAAGGTTTTCATAATCTGGCAAAGTATTCCAGAAGTTGGAAGTCCAATGTTTGTTGTACCTTTCTAAACAAAGGAAGACTTAAGCTTTCCCATATGTTAATGTTAAGTGAGTAGATCAGTGAGGTACTTAGGAGTTTTACAGGCAAGTTATCTGCTTTCATAGTCTAACGTTAAAACAACGGGTTGCCGATGCAGGGATCTTGTCATGGAAAAAGATGCTGGGTGAGAGCACAACTCTGGCGGCAAAGGCTTAGCACTGACTGCTTGTCCTATTTAAGTGGGACACATTTGTGGGACAATAAATTAAGTCTTTAATAAATTAGGCCAGAGATCTGATAAGAGTGCAGTCTTTAGGGGTTGTGTTTGATTGGAACAAGTGGGCTTAGAGCTAACTGGCACTGAGCATTGATAGGGACCTAAATAAACATTGTTTGTTCGGGTCGAATAAGCAATTATACCAGCCACATCCTTGAAAGATGAGCGCATTTCAAGTTTTTTTGTTTTTTTTGGCAATAACCTGGAGCTGTGTGCCAGTTTTTGTAGCTACTGTGACAAGTGCTGTAATTTGAGACAATTTCAAACTGGATTTTAACAACCAATAACAGCTACCCCATCAGGCCAATCAGCCTATGCTTGTGAAAACTAAGGGCACGGTGCTTGAAAACATTCATTACAATGAAACCACTGTAAAATGTTGACCTGGGAGCGCCTCATTAGAGATAAATGTGCCTAATTTCAAAACTCATTGTTAAAAACACTGGAACATAATGCAGAGGTGCCCCCCTCCTCTCGTTTCAGGACTGTGAGTCTGCAGCATATTTCTTAACAAATCTCATGTGGGAGGCAGACCTACTTCTTTGTGTTCTCCTCTATGTGATTCATCTGGCTGGAGGGTCTCCTCTCGGACCTCTGAAACAAACACCCATCATGAGAGACGCTGAAAATACGCTTCCATTGTTTCACAAAATACCCCACCGGTATTTTGACAAGGACGTGCACATTTTCTCACATGCATTCCCACCCCCACATCAAAGATCATGTTTGAACAGTTATCAGAGATCAGATGCATTTCATATACATACATGGGTGATTAACAGTCAATCGGTACATGGGATGTTTTGGCATGCACATACACCCACACTCACCATTTTATCCCAGTCAGCCTGCATGTGTGAGGTTCTGTATCGGGGGTTGGGATCGGCATTGAGATATTTTGTCCTCTCTGTGTTCCACTGCAGCTCTGACCAGAAGCCCTGGAGACTCCTGGCCTGCTCACAGATGTACACAGAAGCAAGCGGCACCGCAACAGCGACAAAGCAAGGGCAAAACAATCAAGGATAATTACATCGGAGCGGTGCACGCTGTATTACATATAAATGTATTATGGACATCTGCATTAATTTCAGTGATTTGTATTTGTATGGGTAATATTTAATGCAACACACAATCTCTCAATTTAATCGCTTTTTTAAAGTATAGTTTTATTAAATGTTTCTCAAAACAAAACTGTGCTGCTCAATGTCATGTTGTTTCAAAATAACTCCAGGACTTCAAGTGTGAGAAATGTGTTATTACCTTCCCTTTGAAGGTAGATTCAGTTTGAATCTCTGTGGTACAAAACACACCAGGAACCTTCAGCAAACATTCTGGCACCTCCTAGAGCATGAATACAAAAAAAGTGTGTGGCTCAAAAGCAAGTGCATCCATTGCATTTAAATCAATACTAACAGTACTGTGCAAAAGTCTTGTGGCTGGTCAGTTATTTATATATTTCTTCCAAGGAGCCAGGCCTTCTTGGAATCTTCTTTGGACATTAGCTGTGTTTTCACTGATTTTTAGTCAATCATTTTCAGAGAAGTGTTTTTTTGGTGTCCTAAAAAAGGTCAGGAAACCAGACAAGTGGCAGTAGATAGTATCTGAAAATCATGTCCTTAAGAACTCCATCCTATGTCACCCGAGACTTTACACGGTTCCAGTGAGATCCAAAGATCCAAAGAGGTCTGGCCCTTCAGTGGATCCATCTACTGTTTGCTGAAACCTCAACAGAAATGAGCTCAGCTGACAAGAAGCCATTCTTAAGAAACAAAAACAAGGAGAAAAGGCTGAGGTACGCCAAATTACACAATCAGTGGAGAAAGCAGTGTAGATTAGAAAAGCAGTGGAAACAGATGTGTAAATAAAACTGAATCATTTCTTTCCCAAATCTTTATCAATATGTACAGAGAAGGTCAGGAGAGAGGTACAACAGTGAGTGTCTACAATCATCTGTGAAACACAGTGGAAGCTCTGTTATGGTTTGAGGCCAGAGGTGTTAGGTATCATATCAAAACTGATGGAATGATGAACACAAAAAAGTACCATCATCATTTTGATCCACCATGCAATACCTAGAAAACATCTGATTGCCAACTCCATCATATTTCAGCATTACAATGATCCCAAACACACTGTCAATACAGTAAATAATGTAATACCTGGGTAAAAAAAAAAACACAATCACACACTATGGAACACTATCCGTCATGGATCGGCCTCACCAGAGCCCAGACCTCAGCATTACTGAAGTAGTGTGGATCATCTTGACTTGCAGAGAACCAAACAAAAGGTAGCAAACATCAAAGAAGAGCTTTGAATTTCCTTTACGAAGCCTGGAGAACTATTCCTGAGGACTAATTAAAGAAATTACAAGAAAGCTTGCCCAAGAGAGTTCAGGCTGTGTTGATGTTGACTTTCAATCTTGTTAGATTTGTACAAACTGTGTTTTTACCTTTTCCATCTATGTTGACGTTTCAATAAATACCACAATACAAAGAAATTTGCAGAGGGGTAGGGGGTGCTGAAGACTTTTGCATAGTACTGTACATTGAGTTGCCACTTTCAATTGCAAATGCCAAGGTATTGCTTGCACAAAGATATATATATATATATGTGTGGTACCTTCTTGTCGAATACAGAGGAGTAAGGCAGGATTTTATCCAAGCTGAGAGCCTTCTCGTAGCTTATTCTGTACAACGAGGCTGTGTGTGAGAGGCAGACAGACAGGCCATCAGAGACAGAACAGACAAACTCGCTTTTAAACATGTAGAGTGTTTTACCTAGGCATAGTTAGAAGGTAAATGAGGCACTTCAGCCCATGCCTCACCCCTATCAATAGGATATATGAGTGATGACAATGTACTAATGTATCCTTTATTAGGTCACAATTATTGTCTTCCTATACTATATGATAACACCTAAGTTAATATTACTTCTTAATACAACAGCAAGGTGAAATAGTTATTGCAGTGCCAATTAAATGCAAATGTATGCAGCCAGCTGCTTACAATCCAAGGCAGTTGTTGACTCTCTGGGTGATGTTTTAAATATGAAAATATCTTCACATACTATTCCAAGGATTTCTTTACAGGGAATGCCAAATGTGTTGTTAGTCAGCTTGGACTTAACCATATTTGCAGTAGTCTGTGCAAACTATGTGTCTGTGAGGTTTCAGAGAAGTCAAAACTATTTTCAAACTCTACATATCTGCAAGTGGCGCCACTGGCACCAAAGCCAAACAAAACTGATGAAACCATTCATCTTAGTGCAGATAAGATGCAAACAATCTACAGTCACAAACAGAAAGACACATAAAAAGGTAAGAGAGCAGTGAGACTCAACAAGAAAGGAGAAGCGATACTCAGGAGAACTGTGTACCCATTCTCCAGCTGCCACTGACCTAAAATAAACTCCTGGATCTGATCAAAAGATTCAAAGGTGTTCACGTTGTCACACAGCCATTCAATAACCTAGAGACATGATAAAAACACAAGGAGACGATACCAGTAAAAGATTAGTTTCTAGTTCTGCTGTTCATGTTTATTTCAACAGTGACCTCAAAAAGTGACAGGTAATTTTCTCCTATCCCCTAAAGGAATGGTTCAACATTTGTGAACAGTTAATTGATGGGACTGATACCGGAAGTTAGCAGAGAGGTCGTTAGCTTCAAAAGTCATTTTAAAAGTAACCAAACAGCTGCCTTGTCCTGGCTTCTCATCGCTCGTTAGCTGATTACTTTAAAAAGCTGCAACCTCCAGGGCTAAAAATTAGTCTAAAGTTGTAACCTCCCATTTTAAAATGCTCAAATTTACAAAAGAAATAAACATGTTTAGAGTGTGATTTAAAGTTTATTAAGGTACAAAATGTACTATTGAGGTCACAGCCTTCACAAGAAGCTGTTAATTGTCTGCTTAGGTGTCACCTCTGCTAATTCTCTGGTATTAAGTCTCTGAACTGGGCCTTCTAGAGTATATATTTAATACAAATGTCTGGCAAAAAATATGCCTTGTGATTCACTGTAACAGCGAGTTTGTTTTTTTTGTGAGGTAGATTCTAATATTTTATCTGTATGCTAGTAATCATTAGCAAGTACCTCTAGCTCTGCAAAACACCCATATGGTGTGTTGATGCACCATGCTAACCAAGCTAGGCAGTGTTAGCTAACAACTTAAAGTAAGGTGAACTGATAAATAGCTCCTCAGGTAATTCAGAGCAAGAACGCAAATTAGCTAAGCATACTTCTGATGTTTTTATAGCTCCAAAACCTGTGGCACTGTTATAAGAAGAGGCCAAAAGGTCAGTAGACATAATAAGGGCTAATTAACAAATGCTAGGAAGTTAGCGGTAGCGGTGTACAATACTGCAAATTTTAGTGTCTATTCCACGCCAAGTAAATACAGGGGCCAGTATTAGCCATACCAATTCTTTTAACTTATAAACGCAGCTAGGAGAGAGCAATGTGTCGTGATTTATGATATCAATTTGCAAATTCTGAACTCATTTTAATTACCACTAAACTGCGATGGCCACTTTCCACAATAATTAGCTAACACAACAAAACAGCTTTTAATGAATTCTGAAACTGCATTTTTCTGGAATATAAATGTGCAAGTCTCTAAAGCACGTTTGACCAACTACTGTTGTTTAATTGTGCTATAGGCTATAAATAAAATAGACGTGACAGTCAACACAAAAAGGTTCTGACTAGGGCTGGGTATCGTCACTGATTTCTAGAATCGATTCGATTCCAATTCACAAGGTCCTGAATCGATTCGATATTATAATTCAGATCAGTACATTTACATATTTTTGTATCTATAAAAAGGAAGCTGACACTCGCAAGACTTTATCAAAGGTGTAAGCATCACAGCAGAAGCCTTTGTGTCAAAGTAGCTGAAGATAAAACAGAAAAACATGAAGGTGATTTTCCTGGCCTGGGATTTTATAAAAATATGTCCGTGCCGTCGGGTGAGAAAGGCGACATCTCACTGATTCTGATCCGCTTTGTGTTTACGTCTTTGTGCAGAAGCCGTGTACCTGCTCTCATTTACTGTTTAAAATGTTTGGTGGTTGTCAAAATTTTGTGACGTTTCACCTGAGATTCTGGAATTTTGGGCAAAATACATTTATATAAAAAAATCGATTCAGGATTTTAATAAATCGATATCACATTATCCAAGCCAGAATTGATTTTAATCGATGAATCGATTATTAAAACCCACCCCTAGTTCTGACATCTTCCATAGTACATGATTGAGGTCAGTTTTTTTGAATTCCCCCCCTTTTGAATTTCAGTGACAATTCAGTGACCTACATATTGAACTTGCAGGACAGAAACAAACGTTACTATCGGTCTGATACCAATCACACGTTGTATCAATAATATCGATATTTAGATCGATCCTTTAGTTAGTTAGTTTCATTAACACGCCCTATGCTGAAGAGGGAAGCAAGAACTTCAGCATTTTACATTTGTGAGCATCCTGATGTCAGCTGGGTACCATGCTTGGTAATAGCTGGTGACAGCTGTAATCACAGATAATAATTTTTTGTATGATCTTGCCTTGATGTATAAAGACCCTCGCCCTGTAGCATAAGTCAGAGCTGAAGTGAAGTCAGAAGACAAGTTAGAAACAGAGTAACTTCATTTATGTAGTATTCACAGTATTAAAGTTTCAAACTCTATGAACATTTTGTGCCACTTTATCAAAGCCTCGACTACACTGGTGCAGAGTCTACAAAGGATATAAAAGTTCTGTATGGTGTCCAATTTCCCACTGATAGCGTGCACTAATGAAGCTGGCGACTCATTTAACCTCTAAAGAAAGAATTTATGACAATCTAGAACATCTTAATTTAGTAGTAACACTGATACAGTCTGAGTCACAGCACCGTGCCAAAACAAAACACTTTCTCCCTTTCTCTCTGTCATTAACTCTGTTTGATCTCTGCCCACTTCTCTTCTCTCCCATTTCATTACAGCATCCCATCTTTTCTGTCTTTCTCTCTGTCTTCTCCCCTCTGGCTAACCGGCTTCCAACTCAAGGTTGACACCTACCGCATTTACACAAAAGTGCAGAAAGAGCACCTTTTCCTACATTTATCTACTCACTTCTTCTCAGTTGTACATCTTTAGTTCTTTAGGGAAATTGCCTAACACTGACCTTGAATGTTTACTTATTCAAACAGCTGCATTCTCCACTTTGTTGCCTATTTATCTTGTCTTTTTTGTGCGTTCTCCACTTCAAGGAGAACTTATTGATCTTGTAAGTTTGTTTAAGACCCAATAAAAATCAATGACTATTCTCCTCCTGAACTTATGTTCTACAAAAAGACAGTCATTTTGTTTTAAATGGGAAAACAAAGATGATGTTCTGCAGAGCAGTACATTTCCTTTGAAGGTAAACATTTTTGTCCACGAAACTCAATTATTCTCTGTGCATCCGCACCTTTAGCTCCAGGTTTGGGTCAGTTCCCATGTAAACCAGCAGGCAGTGGAGGGCAGCCAGGCGCTGAGGGTCAGCCTTATTGCTGGGACACCTTGAATGCAGGTGACATATAATAAATACACCATAATATAGAAAAAAGCATATACAAACACACTGGCAGAGGTACAGGCAGAGAGCCAGCAGTCAGGTACTACAATGTGATGTATGCATGCTGTTAAAAAAGTGGATTTAAGTTTCAAAAGTGAACAGAATGAAAAATTGTCCAGTAAACAAAAAGAGAAAAGAGCCATTGCTGCATCTTTATCGAGCTAGGAGGTGACTCCTGGCGAAAGTTCAAGTAAATGCTAAATTTATTTCAGAAAGACACTGCAGGTGTACACACACAAAAGCCCGTCTGCTACCTTCCTGCCTATATCTTCTCCTATGCACTCCTCTTCCTCTTCTAAGTTTTGAGTCATGCCCACCTAGAACTTGTGTCTGAACGCAGGATCTTCAGCAGGTAGGCGGGGCTGAGCTCGGCACTGTGAATCCTGCCGGTGGCCTGGTCCAGCAGACAAGCGCTGGACTCATCCTCTGCATGCAAAACTGTGATGTTGGCTGACTGACACTGCAGGCCCAGGTTCACATCACGACCTGCATGTTGTGGAGTCAGACAGACAGAGAACAAGGCATAGACACCGAGTTAAATCATCTTATTTTGAGGCGCACGTCTTATTGACAGATAAGGCAGCTTCCTTGTTTAAAAGTCATGTGAGAAATAAACAAGTATCTATTACAGAGGGGAAAGAGAAAGAAAAAAAATGCTACTTCTGCAACTGCTTAGCACAGGCACTATTTCTTTTGACAAAACTTGCCTTACCAGAGAGAAAGAGGGAGTGACAGAGCATCTCCTGCTGCCTGGTGTTGATACAGTGGAGGAAATAACCCTGCAGGTATACCAGGATGTAGTAACCTATATATATAAAAAAAAACACACAGCATCACTGTCAGTTAGTATGCTTCAGGCACACCAAGCATTTCTTGGGCTCTGTGCAGATAAACACATTCATCTATATTTGGTGTGCCTGTGTTTCTATTTGAAATTCAACCTAAAAACTCACAAATATTAGGATGCAGATATGTGTGTGCGTGTATGTGTGTGTGTGTGTGTGT